CACTCAGGTCTACACAGGGCTACTGCTTCAGCCTTGGCTCAGGTGCCGTCTCGTGGAGAGCTACTCGCTCCTCGTCTGTTGCACAGTCCAGCTGTGAGGCTGAGATCTACGCTGGTGCCATGGCGGCACAGGAGCTCCGCTGGCTGACCTTCTTGCTCACTGACTTAGGTGAGCGGCCTAGCTCTGCCCCGGTCCTGTTCGCTGACAACAGGGCCATGATCCTCCTGTGTCAGGAGCCTCGACTCGAGGGCAGAGCGAAGCACATTCAGCTGCGGTACTTCCTCCTGCGTGAGCTACAGCAGCGACGTCACGCTCGCGTAGTACACTCGGCCTCAGGTGCCAACACAGCTGATATCTTTACGAAGGCGCTTGCGCCTAAAGATCATCAGCGGCACTGTGTACAGCTTGGTCTAGTTCCTGTCGCTTCTCACTTGCTAGGACCTTGACTTGTACTGTCCTTTATATGTATACTCAGACTGGACTTGTGTCCTCTCCCAGTGGCTGGACTAGTAGTGCCGCCCTGCTCTTGTTCTTGCCTTGTCTGTACTCCTTCTGACTGGTCTCTCAGACCCTTGTCTCAGAGGTTGGACTAGTAGTGCCGCCCTGAGCTGCTTGTTTAGGGTATTCCCCTATGCAGTCTAGGGGGTGTGTCAAACATCTGTATTTGTTATGTTTGTATAGACTGTATAGGGTTACCTCTTAGAGGGTACAACACTTAGGTTTATTTGTGTGTACTCTCACTTTACCATTATTCAATTCTAATTCTGATATTTCTCTCTATGCCTTACGCCCAAGTCTCTGGCATATCCACGTTCAGCAGCATGTCTGAAAAGGATTGTCAGTGATCCGAGGAACTGAGTAGCACACAGCGCATAGCACTGATAAAGCTGAGCGCCAGGACTGGCTACCGTAATCCCCCGTATAAAGCACCCTATGGTGTTAATAAAAATGCATGAAAATTTTGGGATGGGTGTAATTTAAGGCAAACAAAAAAATAACACCCAGGAGCTGTGGAACATGCATATGGCATTCCCGATTGGAATTCAAATGTGCATGTTTCACCACCTTCATTTGAGTCGAACGACGACTTTTGTTCACCACATCGCGTATCTGACAATGTGGCCTGGTTGCATGCCACATCGGCAGTGAACGTGCAGAGTCAAGGAGATAGCGTGTGCAGCAGGCGTCACCTGTGTCTTGATGAGTGCCGGCCGGTTTCCCGACCAGTAGGAGGCAGCCGGCGATTGGTTCGGTTCGGCAAGCTCGATGTCGCGTTTTTTTTTTTGGTTGGATTTTCAATAGGGCAGATTGTGAAAGTTGCTTAGTCCATATTGCAAAGGCAGCGTGCTTCATTTCAGATGGGTGGTTACATAGTTCTCGTCGCTAAGCGCACATACATTGGAGGGAGGGTGGGGGGGGAACTCAAACTAGAAACTGAAAATGAAGAACGTGGGTGAGGCCAACTGGCCTCACGTCCCTCTTTTGTAGGCAAAAAGAGGGTGAGTAGCGGCGCGCCGCTACCTTTGCTGTGCTGGCCACGTTTCCACTTTCACAATACACAATTTTAGAAAGAGTGTAACACTTTCAAAAATTATCATATTGTGAAAGTTGCTTAGTCCATCTTGCAAAGGCAGCGTGCTTCATTTCAGATGGGCATTCTGAGGCATGTGGATCGGGGGTCGCCGGTGTCGCTCGATCGATTGCTGATGTCGGGCAGGTGAAGGGGCCGTGGAGGTGTCTTGTAGTTGGTTGGAGACTGCAACGAGCTGGTCCTGAGCAATGGTGACATATAGCTCCTTTGCGCTATCGCTTTTCCAGCGGCCAAGACGTTTGAAGAGACGGTCGGGGACCCCCAGGCCGGCTGCGGCCGTGGCTGCGCCCTTGCGGAAAGAGTGAGTGCCGAGGTGGGAGGCATCGAGGCCGGCCTTCTCGAAAGCTTCAAGGCACCAGTTGCGAATGGTGGGGTACGATGGGGAGTTGTCTTGCAGGGTCGCGCGTGCTCCTTTGCCGAATACTCAGATGAGCGGCCCCTGCGGCATGCGCGTAAGGCTGGCAAGCTGAATGAAGTGGCGGGTGCATCGAATTGGACAGCAGGGCCCCTGTGTCGCGGCCACTGGAATCCATGAGCCTTTGCCTTCCTGGTCCGTCTTGGAGTGTGGGATTAGAAGCCACATTACCTCCTCGTCAAACTGTATGTCATTCCATTGAAGCGCGACTAGATCGGAGTAGCTCAGGAACGCCGCAAACATGAGAAGAGGGATCATACCCTTATGATATTCCACCGGAATTGTGGATTCGAGGAAGGGCCGGGCCATGCTGTGAACTTGGAGCAGCGAGAGGGGCTCTTTGTGTCTAGTAGGGCGCGGTCCGTGACGTTTGGCGTACTCTCGAACTTGCAGCGTGAAGGGGCCGCTCGTCGGGGAGGGTTCCCCTGTCATGCGGTGTGCGAAGGCTACAGCGGAGCAGGTGAGGGAAACGGCTGACACGGTAGCGTTATTGCTGAGCGCATGGATGAGGTACATCGCGAGGGTTAGGTCGTTTGCGGGTAAGAAGCTCAGCTTGGTCGTGATACAAAAGGATCGAAATTTCAACCAGTAAGGCTCATACGTTTGGACTGTGGATGGGGCGCGGACTTGGGTGATGACTTGCAATAGTTGTTTTTGCAGCTTGGGCAATATTCCTGAGATTAAATGCACAGAAAATATGAATTATCTATTATATTCAAGACTTAAAGCAATCATGGGGCTGTTAGGGAGTCCTAAACCCGAAAATGCTGTTGCATGCGTGCCAGGATGCAGACATTGGCTTCCGTGGGTAAGAGGGAGATAAGTTACAACTCCCGACACCCAAACGTTGGGTGAAGGTTGGAGGAGTGGCCACCAGGATGCACCAGCCCAATGGGGGACAACCAAAGTCAACTTGGCTTTGGTCCGTTGTGCGTGGCGAAGGATCGCCGGGACTAGGTTGGGTGGTGGAAAGGCGAAGCCGCGCTCGCCGTGCCAATAGACTGAGAATGCATCCGTGGCGGTTGCACCCGGGTGTGGAATCTTGGAACAGTATCGCGGTAGTTGTGCGTTATATGTGTTCGCGAAGAGATCAATAGAGTGGGGGCCCCACCCCCGCTCGAGAAGGCGAAACCAGGGGGCTTTGAGTTTGTAGTCGTCATGGTCCTGTATCTTGGAGAGTTCATCGGCGTGGGCATTCAACTCGTGTGGGATCCATTCAATATCGAGGCGTATGAGATTCTCCAAACAAAGATTGATGATTTCCTGGCATAGGAGCGTGAGGGTGGGTTGGCGAGAGCCCCCTTTGCGTAGGATGAATGCGACACCCTGGTTGTCGACCCGCACGAGGACATGCCTTCGAACGATCCGAGATGCGAATGTACGTAGTGCCCATATGACGCCTTCGAGCTCCTTCTGGTACTGGAGGTTGGAAGAAGCCCATCAGGCATCCGGGCGCTGGCTTCGGTTGCAGATCCTGGAAAGGTGGTGAGGGTGGTCCTAACTGTGTGCGCTGGCGTCGACGTGGATGACGGCATCGAACTGATGACTTGAATGGAATGCCGCCCCGTTGAATCGATCGAATTGTGTGCGCCAAAACAATAACGCTTCAACTGGTGCCGGCGACAGCAACGTCCTGGAGCTCCAAGATGTGGCGTGGGCGATGATTTGTAGTAGCTCATGGCTAAAGGCGCGTGCTGTTGCACCTAGCGCCAGTGCCATCGATGCTAACATACCGGTAACGCGGGCGATCTGCCGCACCGGAATGTGATGTCCCGCTTGTCCTTTTACGATGAGGGCCTCGAGGGTGCTCAGGAGTTGCTCCCGTCGTTCCGAGCCGATCGAAAACATGCCCCGGGCTGTGTCCAACTCAAGACCGAGGAAGCGTAATTGTTGGGATGGGTGAAGATGTGACTTCTTCGCATTTATGACGAAGCCTGCTGCCTTGAGGTCCTGTAAAACCTTGGTACATGTGGACCGTGCCTGCTGAGCTGAGTCGCATAGGAAGAGCAAATCGTCGACATACGGAATGACCCGCACGCTTCGCGTACGCCATCGCTTTGCGAGCTGTTTGATAAGTTGAGTGAAGACAAACGGGGCGGTTGCAAGGCCGAATGGTACAGACCGAAAGTAGTAGTACTCCTTTTCGAATTGAAATCCTAAGAACCTCCAGCAAGATGGATGAATCTCGACATGATGGTACCCGAACTTGAGGTCGATCGAGAAAAGCCAATCATTGGGCTGAATGATCTCAGCGACACGGCTCAAACCCTCGTACTTGAACTTGGGGACAACGAGATGCGTGTTGACCTTGCGTAGGTCGAGAATGAGACGGCACTTGTCTCGCTGCTCCACCACATTCAGCGGGCTAACGCACGTCAACATTGCTTTGGAGGGGGCCTTGACAGCGGATCCAGAAGCGACGAGTTCACTGATGGCACTGCGGGTAAAGTCCATGTGTGCCCGTGTGCCTGCGTGATTGGTATCGGCGAATGGGGCTGGTGCAGCGCGTGCCCAAGGCAACCAATATCCCTTTGCGATGATTGAGAGAATGAAGCTGCTATCACACCAAGAGCACCACCAGTGTAGTGCTTGTCGTAATCGGCTCCGCATGATTGTCACTTGTCGATCTGTGATTGCGTATTTGCATGGATCCCATTCTGCGAGTTGCCATGCGTCGCCGTTAACTGCAGTATGTGTGTGACAAGCAAGGGGAGGTGGGTGTGAGGTTGGCTTAAGGTTTTGAGACACTTGAAGATTTGCAAGGCGAAATGTACCCGACTCTCGGGAATGGTTGTTTCTCATAGCGAGCATAATGCCGGTGATGGCAAAAGTGGTTGCATTATGTGCGTGCGCGGACTCGTGCCCATTGAGCCAATATACTCCTTGGGTTTCACACCCACCCATAATTCCATTCCCTTGTCCACTTTCTTTCTCTCTCCCACTCTCTCTCCCTTTCTCTCTCTCTCTTTCTCTCTCTCTCTCTCTCTCTCTCTCTCTCTCTCTCTCTCTCTCTCTCTCTCTATCTCTCTCGCTCTCTCTCACTATCTCTCTCTCTCTCTCTCTCCCTCTCTCTCTCTCTCTCTCTCTCTCTCTCTCTCTCTCTCTCTCTCTCTCTCTCTCTCTCCCCCCCCCCCCTCTCTCGCTCGCTCTCTCGCTCTCTTGCTCTCACTCTCTCTCTCTCTCGCTCTCTCTCTCTCTCTCTCTCTCTCTCTCGCTCTCTCTTTGACTCTCTCTCTCTCTCTATCTCTCTCTGCCTCTCTCTCTTTCTCTTCTCTCTCTCTCTCTCTCTCTCTCTCTCTCTCTCTCTCTCTCTCTCTCTCTCTCTCTCTCTCTCTCTCTCTTTCTCTCTCTCTCTCTCTCTCTCTCGCTCTCTCTCTCTCTCTCTCTCTCTCTCTCTCTCTCTCTCTCTCTCTCTCTCTCTCTCTCTCTCTCTCTCTCTCTCTCTCTTCTCTCTCTCTATCTATCTATCTCTCTCTCTCTCACTCTTTCTCTCTCTCTCTTCCTCTCTCTCTCTCTCTCTCTCTCTCTCTCTCTCTCTCTCTCTCTCTCCCTCTCTCTCTCTCTCTCTCTCTCTCTTTCTTTCTCTCTCTCTCTCTCTCTCTCTCTCTCTCTCTCTCTCTCTCTCTCTCTCTCTCTCTATCTGTCGTTTTCTCTTTTGCTGCCCTTTTATCTTGCTCTCCCTCCCTTGTCCTTCTTCTGTTGTTGCCGGTATCTTTCGGCATGGCTCGAGGCATGAGTGAAGCATCATTGCCTCCCGACAAATATCCGTGCTGTTTTTTTTTTTTTTTTTTTTTTTTTTTTTTTGGCTTGTTGCTGTTTCGATTGATTGTGCTGGTTCCGTGAGTGTGCGCACCATGGCTTACCCATGAGCCATTGCATGTTTTCGGCCAGCAACCTCAAGTTGTGCCCTCTTTTTTTTTTTTTTTTTTTTTTTTTTTTTTTTTTGACAATGATAATAATGAAAGCCCGGGCTATCAACTTATACTATGAGCAAAAGTGCTCTACACACAAACGTTGCAGCAAACACCTAGGCCTTGTAGCCATTTCTGCCCCTAGGGCTGAAGGTTGTAGGACCCTCTGGTCCCCATGCCTGTTCCCAAGGCTCACAACCAGCCCCACAACACCGGTGCACATTACATATGCTCCCGGCATATGAGCGAGGGGCACCACCCCTAAGTCTCCTCATCCACAGGTGAGGGACCTTGCGCGCCACGCCCCCCCATGGGGCAGGCGTTCGCCATGTGACCGGGCTGGCCACAGCGAAAACAAACCCCCTTGAAACTGGGTTCCTGGCAGCCAGCGGCGCCAACGCTTTTGCCCTCCAAGACACCCTCCCGGCCGCCAATGCGGGGACCGCGCGTGTAGCCGGTGCGCGCGCGCTTGAGGGCCGCCACGTCTGCGATAGCGAGCTTGTAGGAGCGGGAGGTGAGCACGCTCTTCGACTGGTACAACTGGAAACGGTCCGCCGCCTCGAAGCCCGCCTCGTCCGCCACCAAAAGCACCTCGAAGCGCTTGTTGATGAGTTCTTCGATGTGCGTGACGTGGGAGAGGGCGGTTGCGTTGTCGCCGTGCTGGAGGTTGAAGTCCACGTGCTTCAGGTGTGCCTGGATGGTGGCATAGACTTCCGCCTGGTCCCGCACCCCCTTGCGGATGAAGGTGGTGGCCGCGGGCGAGGGGTTAAGGGGAGGGAGAGGGGGGGCGGAAGGAAAAATGCGACGACGAGCGATATTATTGGGAGCCTCACCGTCGTCGTTGTCAGAGTCGTCGCTGTCGGCAGGTGCAGGTGCAGATGCAGGAACAGGTGTAGGGGCCGGGTCGTCGGTGCGTGGGGTCTTGTTGGCGCGAGGAGGGAGCATGGGCGATTTCTTCTTATCGTTTTTAGTCGGAGCGGAAATGTTGTCGGAAGTTCCGACTGTAACAGCGCCAAGAGCGCCTGCAGCTGCTGTGCAGTGAGCGCGGGGGCGGCGTTGACTGGCGCGTTGACCAATGCGTTGACTTCGGATGGTGCCACAGGGCGCCTTGACGAGGTGGGGCCCGCCTGGCCCCCTGACGTGCCAGCGATGTCGTCCACGTCAGCGGGCGTCAACTTGGTAATCTCTTGGAGGCTCGCGGGGGTGTAGACGGCTTGTTAACCTCCCGGTTAGGAGGCGTGTTCGTCGGCGCCATATTTGCGAGGTTGCGCTGGAGAATGTCGGTGAGTAGTGTGGCTGGAGCCTTGAAGCGGGGGAGGGATTGGGTCTTCGCCAGGTTGGACGAGAACTAGGAACTCAAACTAGAAACCGAAAATGAAGAACGTGGGTGAGGCCAACTGGCCTCACGTCCCTCTTTTGTAGGCAAAAAGAGGGTGAGTAGCGGTGTGCCGCTACCTTTGCTGTGCTGGCCACGTTTCCACTTTCACAATACACAATTTTAGAAAGCGTGTAACACTTTCAAAAATTATCATATTTCGGATCTTCTACCTGAATACCCATGGCACAGTGGCAGTAGCTCGTTTTCCCCACTCCCGCTGATGTTGATACCGTTGGCACAGCAGGAGAAGGAAAAATAACGGCAGCACACATCTTCACATCGCAAATTCTTGTGTTTCTTGAAAAAAAAAAAAAAAAGATTCTAGGTGGCAGGGGGGTGTTCAAATGTTTTCACATCCGATGGTAGGGTGTTGTGTATATCCAGAAAAATTAAACACCCATACCCGCTCAAGCTACCCGGGGGAGCTTAATTCCGGCGGGTGTTTTATACGGGGGATTACGGTAATTGCAATTAGAGCACCAGGAAGACGTTAGCATCACCAATGAAGACGTTTCTCAGCCAGGGATGGTGGCGAAACGAGATGGGGACTGGAGAGGAGACAACGGAGAGGCGGATTCTGAATAGGGGGGGAATGGAGAGGGGGCAGTGGCGAGGGGGCAATAGAGGGGGGAATGGTGCGGGGGGGATACAGAGGGGGGGATGGTGAGGGTCGAATAGAGAGGGGGGAATGGTGAGGGGAGAAAGGATTTGGGATCAAGGGCGGCGAGTGCTTGGCCACCGAGTTCTACAGCTGTGAGTAATAGGGCAGTGGGGGCGTGGGCAGAGAGTGCAAAGGCGAAAGTGCGTGGGCAGTAATCCTCACCCACCTCCCACCGCCCGCCCTCGTTCTTGCTCCCCGCTCAACCTCTGACCCACACGCTCAAAGCCCCACGCTCCCCTGATCCATGCTGGAGGGTCTCTCTCCCTCCCTCCCGTCCTGCCACTCTCCCTTTCTGCTGTGGGACAAGGGGGGGACAGCAAGGGGGCGCAGAGGATAGTGTCAAAAGTAGGCTAGTAACTAGGCAGCCATAGGAGGCCGAGAGGTTTAGCTAGGGGGCAGAATTGTCGAGAGAAAAGAGAGGCACTAGGAAAGAGAAGGAGATACAAGAAGGGGGGGGTTGTGCCCTCTACAGTAGGATTCAGCAATGTAGTACAACTACCAAGCCTAAACAAATATATATATATATATATATATATATATAATTCGACAGATAGGTGTTGGACACGGGGGAGGATAGGAGGGGGGAACAGAGGAAAGGTGAGGGACAGGGGGAAGGACAGGAAGGGGGAGCAGAGGAAAGGTGAGAGACAGGGGGAAGGACAGGAAGGGGGAGCAGGGGAAAGGTGAGGGACAGGGGGGAGGACAGGAAGGGGGAGCAGAGGAAAGGTGAGGGACAGGGGGAAGGACAGGGAGGGGGAACAGAGGAAATGTGAGGCACAGGGGGAAGGACAGGAAGGGGGAGCAGAGGAAAGGTGAGGGACAGGGGGAAGGACAGGAAGGGGGAGCAGAGGAAAGGGGTGGGATGCAGCATGGGTGGGATAGAGCTTGAGGTGGGATGCAGCATGGGGGATAGAGCTTGAGGTGGGATGCAGCATGGGTGGGACAGAGCAGGGGGGGGGAGTGGGAGAGTGGGGGAGTTACAGAGCGAGTGGGAGAGCAAGAGAGCGGGAGAGCGGAAGAGCAGGGAGAGCAGGGAGAGAAGGAGAGCGGGAGAGCAGGGAGAGCGGGAGAGTGGGAGAGCAGGGAGAGCAGGAGAGCAGGGAGAGCGGGAGAGCAGGAGCGCGGGAGAGTGGGAGAGCGGGAGCGCAGGAGAGCGGGAAAGCGAGAGAGCGGGAGATCGGGAGAGCGAGGAGCGGGAGAGCGGGAGAGCGGGAGAGCAGGGAGAGCGGGAGAGCAGGGAGAGTGGGCGAGGGGGGGAGTGGAAGAGTGGAGGAGTTAGAGAGCGAGTGGTAGAGCGGGAGAGCGGGAGAGCGGGAGAGCAGGAGTGCGGGAGAGCAGGAGTGCAGGAGAGCAGGAGAGCGGGAGAGTGGAGAGCGGCAGAGCGGGACAGCGGGAGAGCAGGAGAGCAGGGAGAGTGGGCGAGGGGGGGAGTGGGAGAGTGAAGGAGTTAGAGAGCGAGTGGAAGAGTGGGAGAGCGGGAGAGCGGGAGAGGGGGAGAGCAGGAGAGCGGGAGAGCGGGAGAGCGGGAGAGCGGGAGAGCAGGGAGAGCAGGAGAGGGGGAGAGCGGGAACACGGGAGAGTGGGAGAGTGGGCGAGGGGGGCAATGGGAGAGTGGAGGAGCGGGAGAGCAGGGAGAGCGGGAGAGCAGGGAAAGCGGGAGAGCGGGAGAGCAGGGAGAGCGGGAGAGCGCGAGAGCAGGGAGAGCAGGAGAGCGGGAGAGAGCGAGAGCAGGGAGAGCGGGAGAGCGGGAGAGCAGGGAGAGCGGGAGAGTGGGAGCGCAGGTAGAGAGGGAGAGCAGGGAGAGCGGGAGAGCGGGAGAGCAGGAGCATGGGAGAGCTGGAGAGCAGGGAGAGCGGGAGAGCGGAAGTGCGGGAGAGCGGAGATCGGGAGAGCGGGAGGGCGGGAGAGTGGGAGAGCCGGGAGAGCGGGAGAGCAGGGAGAGTGGGCGAGTGGGGGAGTGGGAGAGTGGAAGAGTCAGAGAGCGAGTGGGAGAGCAGGAGAGCGGAAGAGTGGGAGAGCAGGGAGAGTGGGAGAGCAGGAGAGCAGGAGCGCGGGAGAGTGGGAGAGCGGGAGAGCGGGAGAGCGGGAGAGCGGGAGAGCGGGAGTGCGGGCGAGCGGGAGAGCGCGAGGGTGAAAGCGCGGTCGAGCGGGAGGGCGGGCGAGCGGGAGAGCGAGAGAGCGGGAGAGCGAGAGAGCGGGAGAGCGGGAAAGCGGAAGAGCGGGAGCGCAGGAGAGCGGGAGAGCAGGGAGAGCGGGAGAGCAGGGAGAGCGGGGGAGCAGGGAGAGTGAGCGAGGGGGGGAGTGGGAGAGTGGAGGAGTTAGAGAGCGAGTGGGAGAGCGGTAGAGCGGAAGAGCGGGAGAGGAGGGAGAGCGCGAGAGCGCGAGAACTGGAGCGCGGGAGAGTGGGAGAGTGGGCGAGGGAGGGAATGGGAGCGTGGAGGAGCGGGAGAGCAGAGAGAGCGAGAGCGGGAGAGCCGGAGAGAGCGAGAGCAGGGAGAGCGGGAGAGCGCGAGAGCAGGGAGAGCGGGAGAGCAGGAAAGCAGGGAGAGCAGGAGAGCAGGGAGAGCGGGAGAGTGGGAGAGCAGGGAGAGTGGGAGAGCAGGAGCGTGGGAGAGCGGGAGAGCAGGGAGAGCAGAGAGTGGAAGAGCGGGAATGCGGAGATCGGGAGAGCGGGAGAACGGGAGAGCTGGAGAGCGGGAGAGCAGGGAGAGTGGGCGAGTGGAGGAGTTAGAGAGCGAGTGGAAGAGCGGGAGAGCGGAAGAGCGGGAGAGCAGGGAAAGCGGGAGAGCAGGAGAGCGGGAGAGCAGGAGCGCGGGCGAGCGGGAGAGCGCGAGGGTGGAAGCGCAGTTGAGCGGGAGGGCGGGCGAGCGGGAGAGCGGGAGGGCAGAAGAGCGGGAGAGCAGGGAGAGCGGGAGAGTGGGAGTGCGGGAGCACGGAACAGTGGGAGCGCGGGAGAGCGGGAGAGCGGGCGAGCGGGAGAGCGGGAGGGTGGAAGCGCGGGCAAGCGGGAGGGCGAGCGAGCGGGAGAGCGGGAGAGTGGGAGAGCAGGGAGAGCGTGAGAGCGGGAGCGTGGGAGAGCGGGAGAGCGGGAGCGCGGGAGAGCTGGAGAGCAGGGAGAGCGGGAGAGCAGGGAGAGTGGGCGAGGGGGGGAGTGGAAGAGTGGAGGAGTTAGAGAGCGAGTGGGAGAGCGGGAGAGCGGAAGAGCGGGAGAGCAGGGAGAGCGGGAGAGCGGGAGCTCGGGCGAGCGGGAGAGCGGGTGGGTGGAAGCGCTGGCGAGTGGGAGGGCGGGCGAGTGGGTGAGCGGGATAGCAGGAGAGTGGGAGCGCGGGCCAGCGGGAGAGGGGGAAAGCAGAGCGTGGGAGAGCAGGAGAGCGGGAGCGCGGGAGCGCGGGAGAGCAAGAGAGTGGGAGGGCGGTAGCACAGGCGAGCGGGAGAGCGTTCGTGGATTCCGTGGAGCTGCGTGGACGATTCCTAGTGGCACTTGCTTGGCGCGCTGTTGGGAGCTGTGCAGAAGGGATAGGCATGAGTCGGGCGAGATCTTATCCTGCCCAGAACGACGTTGCGCGTGGTGGACAAAGGCGATACGTGTTTCGCGTGCGGCGCCGCTGAATACCCGAGTGTGGTTCTCGCCTCTCCCAATCTCGCATTTTTTCGCGACGTCGCGGCGTGGGCTGTTTTGGCTTGGCGGGAATGGCAGGGCTCTGCGTCATGGCCTACGAGCGCATAATAGTGTCGAAGGGACTTAGCATCTGGGTGGGTTGTGTTGTGAGTGGCACGTGATGCGCGTGCCACATTTCTCTCGCCACTCCAACCCCTCCCCCTCCAAAACCGCTCGTTACAATTCTTTACCTACCCCAACCCATTTCCCACCAACCAAACCTACTCTACCTACCAAATTTCCAACCCAAATTTTCCAGCTCATCTCCTCCAACCTAAGGCCTCCCAACTACTCCTTAATTTTCCCCAACTCTCATAATCATTCCTAGTCCACCTCAACCAAGCTTCCAACAAATCCTCCTATTCATCTCCAACTCCTACCTCAAGGCACATGACTCTTCATCATTTTCCATGTGCTCTCTCTTCCTACTCATCAAGAATTCTCCAAGTCATCTACTCCAACCAATAATCCTCCTCACATGTGCCTCAAGCACATTCCTCCCTTCCCTACTCATCAACCTCCACATGCCTCTTATTTATTCCTTCCTTCCTTCCTATCCCAAGTCATCCAAGTTGCCATATCATCACACAAGACTCTCATGATTCCTTACTTTTCTCACCTTCCAACTCAACAAAGCTTTCATTCCTCCTCCTCTCCTTCCTTTCCAACTCATCCAAGTTTCTCTCCAACACCACATGGTCTACAACTCCAAGTCACCAAAGGCTCAACAACTATCACATGCTCCACTACTATTCATCTTCACCAAGAATCCTCTCCAACTTCTCAAGAAGTTTCTCAAAGTACAACAAGGCATCTCCAAGCTCCTCTCCTCCAAGCTTCCCTTCAAGTCTTCTTCAAGCTCCTCAAGCTCACACCACTACAAAGGCTCCTTGTTAGCATTCATGTTCTATGTCTCTAGAGATGGTATTACCATGCTACCTTTCTTCCTAGACTACTATGAGTGGTCTCTTTCTCATGCATGTCCTTGTATCCACCATGGATTATAAGGCTTGTACTATACCCTATTTCATATAAGTTTATGCTCTCAAAGTTCTCCCACAAAGTTCCTAGATTAGCAAAGTAATCAAGCATTAGTCCATCTTATACCCAACTCGAGTATAAGATGCATCACCAAGCCACAAGCTTGTAGGAAGACTTACTTCTTCAACACTCAACCTTGGGGTATCTTCACTCGTCAAGTACAAGACCATCTCCTTCAACCACATCCAAGATTGTGGTCCCCTCTCAAGCTTGTGGTGTCCTTCCAAGCTCAAGACCCTTTCCCAAGTGCAAGACTTCCTCTATCAAGAACCGCTCCCAAGATTCTACAGCTTCTCTACATTCTCAAGACCCTTTCCCAAGTGCAAGACTTCCTCTATCAAGAACCGCTCCCAAGATTCTACAGCTTCTCTACCTTGTAAGACACACATAAGCAAGTCTCTCACTCTTCTTTATAAGCATCTTTCTCTCCACAAGTCCCCTTTTACTCACTTGAGTACGTTTCCACTAATTCTTCACAAGCACATTATAATTCCATTTATATGTGCTACAGTTCTACTATTGCACTCTTTTCCTATTCAATCGTACAATCATACTCTTTTGTCTTTATCTCAATCTTTATCAGGTTGGTGGGTTGTTTTGCTGCATGGAGACGACCTGCGTTGCTTGGTTGTCGCTCGGCCAATCACCTATTTGCGCCAGCGAAGTTTCCCCCTCTCAAGGGCCAACAGGGTTACCAGGTTTCGTTGGTGTTGGCGCAGTATGGGTTCGCCTGTTATGAGTGGGAATGGAACAGCCACTCAATAATGAGAATAGAACCTCGGAAAAACAATCTCTACAAGTGACGAGCGAACTGGCTAAAATAGGACACGGACGCGCTAGGACGAGCTAGGGCGAGGACCTTGGGACATGAATGATTTGGTTGGGTGTCGAGGGTGTCGCAACGCGGCTCGGGGAGGTTTGGGCCGACAATAATGGCCGAACCTGCGAGTTCGAGGTCTTCGGGTGTACGCGCTGTAGTTCAGCGCAGTAAGGAATGTTAATTCCTTACATCGCCACTCGGAAGGTTCAAAATCCTTTGAAACTTGGTTATTGGATACTTTTGTAGTCCAATCAATGATGGGATTATACTTGCGAAACCAATACCGGCCTTACACTACATCGCAGCCATCCAACGTCGTCGCGAGCATCCACAGAACAAAACGGACTAGGCTGTCGCAATCAATTCGTACATGTGAAACTCCCCCGCGTATTGCTAGCAGCGTGTTGTCAACCAAACGTGTGTCAATCTTGGGCTGGCAACGCTCCATCGGCATAGCCATGGTGATGTCAAACAAACTATGGCTAGCTCCCACGTAAATTTACAATTTCAGACGGATGTTGCCAACGCTCCCCTCTACAAGCACAGTGCAGTCAACATGTTCATCCCCTTGTAGCCGAGCGTAGTGGATCTCACATATCGGCATGACGACTTGGTGGGAGTGGTGATCTTCTGACGATGAAGCCGCGTCTGTCGGTGGCCCAACTGTTACTGGCCTGATCTATTTCTCGGGTTCCTCCCATATTTGGCTTTGGATTTCTTCTGTTCTAGGCAATCACGGTTAGAATGGCCCGACTGTTTGCACCTGTAGCATCACCTGCAGGCTCGGAGGTCGTCCGACGCTTCCATGCCGTTGATGGAGGGGTATTGGTATTGGCCTTGAAATCGATTTCCCTTCCAGAAATTCACCCTCAGGAACCTACGGATTGCATCCCACGACTCTGCAACTGTCCAAAGATAAGAAAATATCGTCGACCATCACAACGCACCCCATTGCTGCCACGCAAGGGTCTCGAGTGTCCCAAACAGGGAGGATGCTTGAAATGATAAAGATCGTTACCCCCTGTCCATCTTCTGCTGTCGCCACATGTCTCCGAAGTCGTCCGGGATTCATTGCGTTCGCACGGTTTTCACCGATTGTAACAGTCAGCTGCCGATGTGTCGTCCCACGCGCTGGCAACGTGAGGTGTTCTCTTCAATCTGCGTGACGGTCTCCGTAGTCATCGCATCCACCTCCGCGACTAGCTCCACAAATTCCACCGTTAGCACCTTTGTACTCGCCGCTGCTGTCCGCAGCTCAACAATTACTTCGGGCATCATATTTATAAGACTCCAACGATGGGGGTTACTTCCGTAACCATGAATAACTCAACATATCGAATGCAACTAGCGAAGACTAAGGGCACCTGTGCAGTATCAGAGGCATGGAGTGCACACCCTTCAGTTGGTGGGACTGAAGAAGTCCACACGTGCGACCGGAGGACAGCTCCTACCTCGACGTGTCTGGTCCCCTACCACTGTAACAACCAAGGCTATTATAGTAGGGACTAAAAGCAAGGAGTGCTCTCCAATCTCAAAATCACCCTAGCTTATCCCTAGACTAGCCTTGAGGTTGTTGGTGAAGTCTTCAAAAGAGAGGCTTGAATGAAGAAGTCCTTGAGAGAGTTGTGTAGGGGAAGCTGTGAGAAGAAAATCCCATTTCCAAATTGGATTGTTGGAGTTGGGAAATGGAGAATGAGCTTGTGGAAGCTCAACCCCTCCCTAGACCCCTTGGGGAGCTCCAACTCCTCCATGGCAACAAGGTGGAGGAGCTCCTAGAGTTGAGTTGCTTAGGTAGTATTTTAGGTTGGGTTGCTACCCATTTGAGAGCAAGTGTGTGGAAGAAAATGTTGGATTGAGTTGGTTGTAAAACCAACTGTCAATCTGTGGTTGGTTGCAAATCCAACCATTGGTTGGCAATGTGTAGGCTTGGGAATTCCCAAACCTCAACATAAAGGGTTGGAATTTCCAAACCACATTTGCCTTGGGTTGGGTGGTTAACCACATTTGTACACCCAACCCATCCTTCCCTAGCACAACTTTCTCATGCTTGCGACCTAGCACAGGTCACGCTATGGCGCCCTAGCTAGGTCGCGCAAATTGCGCTAGGTAGGTTTAGTATGCGTTACAACCACCCTACTCCCTACGGAAGTCCAAGTGGGCAGGAACGTAGCTTTTGTTAGGGATGATAAGGAAGAGACTTAAAGCCCGACCAGCAGGTTGCAACTCTTTTTTTCTCAAGATGCTGCATCTTGAGAACCTGTAACCGAACCCACCCGCAACAGTGGTTGATGAGACTCAAAGACCTCAACTCTGTGCCTCGACAAACTTGGCAAGTTTGCGTCCCTGCCAAGTATCGAGGTGAACAAGCACAAAGTGTGCTCAAATGGTAATTACTCGTACAAATTTTGACTGTCAGGCGGTTTAGCGTAAGTGTACCAATGTGTGTTTGATTGCACAAGGGCGAAACCGAAGCCCAATAGTTGAGTCTCATTTCCTTTCAATTTGCCCTAAAAAAAAAAAACGATGTGGGCTGTTAGCGCAAAAACGCAGGCACGAAAACCCCCCCTGCAACATGGCAAAGAGGCTGGTGTGAGTCCCTTCCCAAATGACGGGGCTCAAACCTGACACCTCTGCTAGGTTGGGTAGCCCTTGGAAACTCCCGCGCAAACACGAGGTGGACGAATATGAAGTTTCGCAAAAACATTTCGCTTATCTTTTTCCTCGTCAACCAATCGTAACCTGCCGCCCCACCTACTTCAACAGTACCAATATGCAACTTGCCGGTTGGGCTTTAAACATTTCAAGAGTATCGCGACATATGCAATATGCGAGTAAGGCAACATTGAGGACAGACGAGTCAACCTTGCTACAGTACCCCTCGACAGTTGTCGAAGTCTAACGACACACGATCACTGACCGTTGACCTTGCAATCCTGCAGTCAGAAGTGCAAGGGTCAAAATATCTGCGCAACAGCAAGGACACATAAACGTCCCAGCATTACAGTTCGGGTGGCTACCCGAGTCATAATTATTGAGTTGTAAATGGAATATAGAGCTAGGTAGACCTTTCATTCATGTGATTGGACCATGGGTCCTTTAATCAAATGAAGGGGCATAAAGACAAAATTCGATTATAGGCCCCGCCCTCAAACATTCGTGATTCCCCATTACAACGAACATCGAAATGCGCTTAGGACTTGAAATCTGCAAAAGTGGCATTTCGTAGGCCCCACAAAAAAAAAAAAAAAAAAAAAAAAGGTTCGCCCCAAACACTCCTAGGGTCCTCTATGAGTGGATACAGTATTCTCTTGTACAACTATATATGCCCTTGTATGTCCTTGCTATTATCAATCAGTTGTTCTCACACTTCAGTACAAGGGTTCAATTCAAACTCCCGGTGTGCTAAAAAATACTCCACATACTAATGAACTTAGTCTTTGCGAAAGATCCCTGGGCTCCACTCAGCCTAAGAGCTTTGATACCAAGTGTTATGAACGAATTCGGGATGTTATTGAGTTATGCAATAAGGGATCCACATAAAGCACATAGCAATATAAAGGCACGTCTAGACCAGCGGAGGTCCTCAAGGTTGAGCCACAAAACGCACGCGATGTGGCTTGGGCGCATCGGGATTTGGGAGTGTCGGACGCAGCACTACGTGCCAAATCGGGGTCGCGAGCAAAGCGTGGAATTTACGTTTCGGGCCGAGCCAGGACTTCCGAAGTTCAGGGTGTACGCGGTATAGCGTGGTCCCTGTCAAGACTAGAAAGAATGAATAAAAGAAGGGAGAACAGGGGAGATATAGCATTTGGGTTGTACCCACTAAGAACATACCCTCTCTAACCTATAGCTTCTACATAAAGTAACAATATATGTATAAGTTGACACACCCCCTAGGCTAGATAAGGGGTAGTGCTGAGCAAGAAACACGCAGCTCAGGGTGGCACTACTAGTCCAACCACTGAGGCACGGGCCCGAAAACCAATCAGCAAGAGTACAAGCAAGACAGAGCAAACCAGCGCGGCACTACTAGTCCAACCACTGTAGGAAAAGCCACAAGGCCAATCACAAGGTATAAATAGAAAGGAGTACACAATCAAGGGACTAGCCACTGAGAGTCAACACGGACTAGACCTAACTGCAAGCAGTGCCGCTGATGATCTCTACGC